TGATTACGGTTTTATCACGTATTATAACAGTGAAATGGCGTGCGCCATGAAGCCATGATGGCGGTGGTAGCCATAACAGCAATGCTCGTTTGATGTTATTATGAACACGAGGCCGGCTTTTTACTGCCTTAAAACATTATTAACGTACGGTAATAATTGTTACGGTAAATATTATGCTGTGAAAGTCTACACTAATTTATTAGTGACGAACATGGCGGTGTCATTTTAATAATTATAAAATATACCTAACGTTTTTTTTTATAAAATAAGGGTGACAAACGAGTACACAGTCCACCTGATGGTAATTGTATGCTGTAGCGCATAAACATCTACGTTTATCTTCGATTAATAACCAAAACGCAGATGCGTTGTCACCCCCTGAGGACTAAGATTGAATGCCTTGTTTCCAGTAAAATAGGGTCTCAGGCTCTCAAGATCTCTAAACTCACCATACGAAATACATCAGTATTAAGCTGCTATTTTACGCTGGTATTCTGCGAGAGCGTGGTCCTTCCCCGGTCGAGCCGACCCATTCTTGCTGCAACCATAAAAAGGCTGCAGAGTGGTTCTCTACGACGTAATAACGTGCACTCAAAACACATAAGTATCCTTTATTTATTAATTATTTAATCTATCAAAATCCACAGCTGAGCATAGGCCTCGTCACAGATTAAGGCAATCTGGCATTAGGTAAATAAAGATTTTTGTTATAGTTGCCAAGCTTGGCAGGCAGATTGGCGCCCTGCCCATATCCTGTTTTGTTTCCCTTTGTCGCCTCTTACGATTACGGTACGCACGAGCTGAAAAGATACGGAAGGTAGTGGATTAGAGGATATTTTTACTCAGCAATTACACTGCTGGTCATCTTACATTTTGGGGAATTATAATTTTAAAGCAGGAAATTAAAAAAAATATATTCAATCAATATAATATATATTTAAAATACATTACACGTTCAGGTCATCACATTAGTATGAACAGGGCATCGACTATGGTCATGAGAATATACAATAAGGACACAATAACAGATTCAATCGTCTATCAATTATATAGATACCAGAATTATAGATTTCATGGTTGGTCAAGGTCTAATAAGGCTGGCAACACATTAGAATAGAATATAATTATTTTTATTTAATATAGATTACAAGAATATTTATTGAAAGGTTTAACTACTGATTCGGAAAAAACCACTGTCCTGAGTTTTTTTTAAATAAAATTGATTAGCAACTCATAATGATTTCTTTTATTTAAATTCATTTTACGGACTTTATCGTGGTAACAACATCTCAGGAGCTCGAAACGCCGGAAATCAAAAAGATGAAATTGTGCGCATTATAAGCCCGTAAATTTGGTTTAATACGACATTAGCGAATTTTTTTTTTTTTCAATTAAATTCATATACTATTCATACTCAGTATTGAACAGTTTACGCATAATATAATGACTAGTGAAAATGATTTACCGAAATGATGTTTACTTCTGTGACATTTACGCTACAAAAAAATATTTAAAAAAAAAAAACATTTTAAATACACATAAAATATTTAAGTGCCCAAATTTTTAAATGATTTGTGTATCACCTATACCAGGATGCCACTTGTTGCAGCTGTAGGGTTAAATGTATTTGTCTCTTCAGAGTTCATCGTAGAAAAAATTGGAAATAACATTTGAAATTTAGAATATTTTGTAGTAAGTAATAATATTAGGTAAAATTATATTTGTCTCTGGTTTTTAATCAATATTGTTTTCGAGGTAACCAGAAAGCAATGCTGCACAAAATATTGCGCCTTCTTAAATACAATATAATTACTTAGCTATTTATAACACCGGTTACTGTTACAGCATATAACTCCCCTGCTGAATATAGGCCTATCCCGTAGATTGTTTCATAGGGGGGATTTATAGGGGGGAGGGGATATTCGCCATACATGCCACGCTTGGTAACCGCAGATTTTTATTCTTAGTAGTTATTAGAAAGACGCTGATAAGTATACCCATCTCCTGATTTGTTTCCCGCTGCCGCCTCATAAGACGCCCACGGGATGATATGGGGTAGTGAATATTGTAACACCACGGTGAACGTGTAAACAACTTTATATAAACGCAAGTGTTATTCTACCCTTTACTTCATATTGACAGGATTGATCATTTCAGATCATTCAGATTGATGTCACACGTCCAATAATTTAATTGCTCATACGAAAGAACCGGAAAGTTACTTTAGTTATTATACTTGACTTAGCAGCGTCGTTTTCGACGCAAACAGCCGTAATTATCTATAATTATTTCCCGCATGAATTTGTTTTAAATAAGTTGCATATAACACGCCTAAAACTGGCTAATAGTGATTTACCCTGTTCAAGTGAGGATCGGCGAATTTCTCTTTTAATTTTTGTGTGTAAATTTTAATTTCCTCTGATTTTTAATCGACTTCAAAAAAGGAGGAGGTTCTCAATTCGTCGGGATCTTTTTCTTTATGTATTTTCACCGATTACTCGAACACGCTTGAACCGATTTGGAAAATTCTTTTTTCGTTTCAAAGGGTATATATTCCCAGGTGGTCCCGTTTAAATTTTATCGAAATCGATCAAGCGGTTTTTATAAAATCAACAATTAATTGTTTATTTTGAAGTCGATTGAACAAAACTTTTAATTATACCACTCGTGTGGCTAAACATAAATTTGATTTAAAAAAAAAACTATAAACCAATATTAAGTGAGGCAGGATCTACGAAGGAATCCATGTACGGCAGTGGATTTTAAAACGATCGTAATAAGCGAATGAATATAATTTCGTGTGCCGGTTCATCAAACCAAACTGGAATCGCGTAAAATATAAGCGAGCGCTCGGTCCACGATCAAGATAAATAAATACCGTGATGATAAGAGTTTACTGTTTTCACCTGAGTGGCAGGTATTTGTTCAAATAACAATGTCAATCAAACTAATCTATTGCGACCGCTTTATCAGTTTCATCACAATGATAAAGTTATAAATGTAAGAAAACGGCAACGTTATTCCAAAATGTAAACATTTCATATTTTATTTATTACGCTTACTACCCCAACTTATAGTAAGTGGTGACATAGCAGAAGATGGTAAAGCGCCTTAACAGAGTAACAAAAGCTTCACTCTATCCGCAAATTATTCCACCAAATTACTTAAGTTAGACGTAATAAAACATCTTACCAATATATTAACTTTTACAATTAAGTATTCTGTGACAATAAAATTTATGCTGGATGACTTTTTTATCGTCTGGAAAAAATAGGGTGTAACATGTGAACTGAGTAGAAGCCTGGCACTGATATTTTACAAAAAATAAAAAGAAGTTTTTTTTTAAATTTAATTAATTAATTAATTAAATTATATGAAAATTCAAATCATATCCAGGGTGGACTTTACAAACAGCAATAAAACAATAAATTCAGTAGGCATCTTTGACCTTGTCACTCGCAGGCTCACGGGCTAGAGTGGATATGATTTGAATTTCGATAGATTTTAATTAATTTATTTATTTAATTCAAAATTTTTGTTTTAATTTTTTGATAAATATCAGTGCCATGGGATTCTACTCCATTCACAAGTTACACCCTATTTTTTCCAAAGGGTAAAAATAGGGTGTAACTACTACTACTACTACTAAAAATATTATTCCAGAATAATCCTTAGGGATTACAATTTAATATATTAAAAACAATCCCCGCATTCGATTAAAAGTTATAAAAACAAATAAAGAGTATCCATTCGTGTAAGAATATCCACTACATCATATCGTCCCAAGGGTATTGTAAAGGGCGACAGAGGTAAACAGACCTGGAAATGGGCAGCAATGTCTTTCTAATACTTAGATCCGCTACATTCTTATGGAATTCCGTTTCGAGATTCCGTTTCGGAATTCCGAACGATGAACGAACCGGACACACACATGCGGAATCCCGTTTTGTCCGCAAAATCCCGTACGGAAAAATACCGTACGTGTGTGGCGTGTCATTGATTTTATATGGACTTGCTGCGTTCGGAATCCCGAATCGGAATTCTGAAACGGAATCTCGAAACGAAATTCCGTATGTACGTGGCGAGCCTCAACAACTAGAAAATTAAATAACCCGCCTGCCAAGCGCCTGCAATATCGCCTTTATGAGAGAATCTATCATCTATTTACAGACTTAGATACACGCTGTAATGGATAGATGAAAAAAATAGATAGATAAGATGAGAAGGTATATATGCAATCGCACACAAAGGTTTAAATTTAATGTCAATCTCAAAGTCGATGACAACATTTTATTAGATTTCGAATTTCCAAATAAAATCCCCATTTGACTTGATTTATACACATTATAAAAATAAGTTAAAATTCCTTATTAGAACTATTTGACAGTGTCCTAAAATAAATTTGTCGGAATCGACCCTGAAACCTGGAAATCATTGTATCACATACGAAACGATATCTGCTAAACTTGGATGTTTGATTTTCCTACAATAATGTTTTTTTACACTAGAACTTTTTAAACGATGTCGCTACAACATATTACATAGATTTTCTGTTCGAAATAATTATGTTTGAAATAGCTTATTTTAATTCATTCATTTTTATATAGCTAGATCCTAAAATCCTAAAGAAACAAAGACACGTCTAATACCACAACACCACAGTCTATAAATTATGTCTTTGTTTATTATACTGTGCTAATACTAGACTTGGAACAATAAATTAAAAAATATATTTTCAATTTAAAAAGTAAGTAACCATAATCGTAATTAACTATATGATAAAACAAGTATTGTATTGTAACTGGTCTGGTTTTATTAAAACAAAAATAAATCAATGCCTAATCGCCTAGTAGAAACCGGTTAATTACAACAGAGTTTAACAATGCCAACAAACTTAAAACTTGCCATTCGTATGATTAAAGTTTCCTTTCCAATAACAAAGGTTTTTCGTACAAATAAACGCGTCGATTATTTTTTCTTTGTTTCAAACACTTACAAAACTAATTACTCACCTCAAGTTTCTTGGAGTACTCCTCAGAAATGCGCTCTTGTTCCTTCTTTAATTCCTCATTCTTCTCCAACAGTGCCTTCCCTAGTTCCGCAGCTAGCAAGAGATCAGATTCCTTCTGTTGAAGCTGACTCCACACGTCTGGTTCTGCTCCTGCGTCCATGGTATCTCTCGTTGCCGACATTTCTTTAACGTAAACTTCTAAATCCTTATAAAAATTCTCGTCAGACAAACTCAGAACTGACGGTGTAATTCTAGTGCTGCTCACGCTTCTACTTCTCCTATTTTTAGTTCCTACTGGAGTTGAAGTTCTCCTGTTTCCTTTACCAAAAAATTGAGTCTCTTCTGTGATAAAGCTTGGCGATTTACAATCAGGCGGTTCGGTCACGGTGGATTCGGTGTGTTTTCTACTTCTACTGATACTTGCACTAAATTCACCGGCCATTTAATCTAAAAGTGTACTATATTATTTAACTTTGCACTATTTTCGTGTAGTTATTCTTTTTGAACAACTTGTCTAACGCCTGTTGAATTTTAACAGCTTTCGGCAATTTCACGTTTTTAAAAATGTTCGTTGGAATGTCGAAATCCTTTTTTAATGCCATTATAATATCTGTACGAATTCACGAGCGTAACATTTCCGTGTCACTGGCACTGCACTGTACACGAACCTAGAACTCACTCGCGACACGACCGCTCCACGCGGATGTTACCACGACGACGGTACGGACACAACAAACTGCTGTTAAACCTGCGAGGTGGAACGAGGCTTATTCATCAAAGATTATATACATTAAAGATTCTGTCTACAGGTACTAAACTGTTATAAGCTAAAAGGTATAAGCATAATCTAGAGGTGTAGGTATTGCGTACTATATAATTAATTAATGTTGAAGAACCTAATTCGCATTAATCATTTGATTCTAAGTAAATAATTAACTAAATATTCACAATGAATATATTGTGTATATTTGAAAAATGTCTCAAATACTTAAATATTTACATCATTCTTATACAGTCATACGAACTTCCTAGAATAAATTAATTACTTTAAAAGTAAGACTTTTCAATTCATAATGATTTCTTATACGTACATATTTACGTGAATACTAGACATAAAAAGGTGTCATTTAATTATCTAAATTTAAATTTGAACAAGTTTAAAAATTGATACATTAGTAGCTCTTACGTTCCGCGATATCGTGGATTCATTTCCCCATATCATCCCGTCAGTCGCCAGAGACAACAGATGAAAATGAAATAGGACATGAGTAGCAGTATCTTCCTAATAACAACTTTATAATACTGCGATTACTAAAACCGCCTGCTAAATGTGGCGACTATAGCAAATATCTTCCTGCCTATCTTCAGCATTGAACGTTTAATGGGCTGTAGTGAATCATAGAATGAAGTTTGAAAATCTGTACATCAACAGTAGCTTTTTATGTATCGCAAAAAAGTTCGACAAAATACATTTTTGAGCTTAATCGTTTCATTTCTAATATGACCTGAAGAAGAGAATCTTTAAAATATATTAAAAACGCACAACAGATCGATAACACGCGGTAGAGCCATGTTGCAACTGTATTACGGTTACAGCATAAATCAACAGCACACAGAATTAAAAAAATAAAATTTAGTAAATTATAAAAAAGAATGTCACTGTAAAATAGCAGCGCAATACTGACATGTCGTAACAACAACGCCTTAGCATTTTAATTATTAAGTGATGAATGACGATAGATGTATGTGTCAAAAATTTATTTATTTTTGTCCACAAAAACAATGTTACGATATTTAGTATTCGGATGATGATCTATGTTAGGCAAACCTGTCCTGTAGGTATTTGACATGATCCCCCCCCCCCAACGGTTCACCACCTTGGCTTAGTAGCCGTGGTTTGTTTACCCGCGGTGAACTAGGAGGAACTCACACAGCTGGCCCGGAGTGTAGGGCCGGCCCGAGGAGGCCACTCAGTGTGCTTTGCAAGCCCACTTCGGATGTGTTTTGGTGGGCTGCGGCGAGAGGGGTGCTCTCTCCACCTACCGCCGCAGTCTAGGTGGGGGTCGCAGATAAGGATGTTGGAATGGCGTTGCACCACTCGCCCAATCCTCCTGGACTCTGACAGGGCTGCACCGTTAATTAATGCTTGGTGGTGGGGTTGCGGGGGGGAGAGGAGTGTCGGTATTACGAGGCGCTGCTTTCCCTACTCTCCGCAGCCGAATCTTGGTTGCCGGTGGAGCCATAGACCCCATTGTTTCAGAGGCCCTGCCAATATGCGACGAAGGTGGAACACCATGGGGTTTTATTCAGTGCGAGTCCGACATAACCCCTCCCATCCCCCCCGAGGCGGGTATGCGTAAGCATTTCCCCGTGTAAAAGAAAAAAAGGTATATGATATGATATGAAAAATCATCTGAAGAAGTACTTCTCATCTATATAAACAACTAGTTCCACTAAGTTTCGTCAACCGCTAGTAAAATTCATCAATGTAACTGATTTTCAATTACTATTTAAGGGGATAGAGTAAGTCAGCTCAAATTCTAATTTCGTCCCCACTTGCCGCGCGTTGTATGCTATGTACCAACATGTTTGTAATCACTAATACTGTAAGTAGAAAGGTCGTTAGACACTTATTTCATTAGGTTTATCATATTTATGCCTGTTTCTTAACGCCAAGCCAGTCGCTTCTTATTTTTATTACGGTTATTTCCCATTTTAATTTTACGTCGTCCTGTTGCGTAATGTATATTCTGATCGTAAGCGACACAACCTCCCCGTTCAAAGGCCGAAGCGAAGTGACCATGCGGCAGAAATCACGCTTCAAAAGGCCGATAGTTTAGGTAATTTCTTTTTTACAGTGAAAATAATGGTATTTAAAAAAAAGTAAATAACATAAGCACTGCTTTATAGTTAGTCCAGTTAGTACGCAAAGTTTCATGATCTTATTTAAGGTATTTTATGAATAACAACGGTTTATTGTTTATTTTGGAGGTAACTTTGGATTTTTTTTTCTATCGAGAAAATTTTACGAAATCGTGTTTTCGTCTAACATAATCCTTAACATTAATCCTCAACTTTACCATATATTTATTTCAAAATTAATGCTGCAATATTTTCGGCATAACGAAGGATCTTGCTAAGCCATTTGAGATTATATTTCCCCTTAATTACGAATATTTCATAAATCATTTCAATAAATTATGATAAATTAAAAAACAAACATTACAGTAGTAAATCATCTAAAAGCAAAATAGTCTTTAATAACAATGTAAAGCGCAAGTCAAATAAAATCTATGCCTATATCGTATCTTATGCCTATATAATCTTTGACGGTAACCAACACGTGTGTTTAAACGAAACAGTACAAGCAGGTAACCTGAAAACCTGTGCGTCAGACAGAGATAGCTATAATAAATCAAGGTGATACAGGAGAGTGGCAGACTGACCAAAAATGTCGAAACATTTATTTTTATTATCGTAAAACTAGGAAATGATCTCACAGCGATCCCAAAAAAATCAGAATTTAAAAATTAAAAGTATAACAAAAAACGGACCTTGGATTTATTTGTGTGCAATGGGTAATTTAGCAATTATTATTATCGATTTCCACAACATCCTACCAATTTGGATCAATTTTATCGCTCGGATTCATTTATTACATTTTGCGGATTATGACTGCCTCGTTGGTTTAATGGAAGTTGGCGCGACTGCTGGTCATGTGGTCCCGTGTTCAAATCCCGGAATGGACCAAAATCAATGTTTTTTTTCTGTCAAACATCAAACTCATTACCAACACAGATATATCACATGTACATATTATGGTCGGGTCAAATTAGTTATTAGGTTATTATGTAAAGGAATTCTGAATAACAGTCCGGAATCAGAAAATTGTAATTAGCTGTGTTTCACCCGTGTCTTGAAAATTACGTAAAGTCATGGCTTAGTCTAATCTCTCTCCAGTTGTATCTAATGTCTGTAATCCTGTTCTGTGCAGATGGCTGTCGCCGAAGAGACTAGCATTAATTATATCAACCTTGGCAAATATGCCGCTTAAAAGGCTTTCTAAGAGGGTACACCCTCAGACGTTCAGACGTTTACTTTGAAAGACTTTAATGATTATGATAATTTATAACTCTTGATATAACGAGTGGCGGTAGAGTAAGATAATTTGTCAGCCGATGAAACAATGTCATTTTTAAACCAACCATATATCGAGTTTTTTAATGGAGATATTTGAGTAATTTTTTTTATTTTTACGTGGTAAAGTCACGCTTTTTTTATAGAATAAGGGTGGCAAACGAGCACATAGTTCAACTGTTGGTAAGTGGATGCTGTGGCCCATAGACATCTACATTTATCCTCGATTAAGAATCAAAACGTAAATGCGTTGTAGCTCTGGGGACTAAGATGGAATGCCTCGTTTCCGGTAAAAAAGGGTCTCCGGATCTCTACACTCACCATACGAAACACAGCAGTATTAAGCTGCTATTTTACACTGAAGTTGTTTGTGTTGTTTGTATGTAGCACGAGAGGGTCGGCTCAGTCGCGGTGGAACCACATCCCCAAGAATACCAGCGTAAAACAGCAGTTTCGTGCTGTTCTGTTTCGTATGGTGAGTATTGAGAACCGGAGACTTTTTACTAAGAACGAAGCATTCCATCTCAATCCTCACGGATGAGAACACACTTGCATTTTGATGCGTAGTCGAAGAAAGATGTAGATATTTATGGTACACAGCAACCACTTACCATCACGTAAACTATGTGATCGTTTCTCGGCCTTATCTTATAAGAAAACTTGTTTCTATCTAATAGCAGTAAACATTCTAACTTTTAGGGGTAACAGAGGTTAAGTAACTATAATTCTTAAGCTCGTCTCCGATCCATTTCATCACCAACAGCGCTGATATGACATCATATAAATTAATTGCAATATTTATTATATAGTTGTGAAGTGTCGCCACTACACGGCGCTTTATATACTAGCTGTTCAACGTGACTTCATCTGCGTGGAATTTATTACGATTGTATTTCATGCGTTTTAACTATTTGCGCGGAACCCTAATTCCTTTTCTAAAAGAAAAGTAGCCTATCTGCCAGTAAATTCCAGTTAATATCGGTCCAGCAATTTCGGAGATTGGCCGGAATAAGCAGACAAACAAATCGACAGACAGATAGACAAAAAATTTTAAATTTTTTTTTGCTATCAGTGCCATATATTAGTACGTATGCATTTAGTAAAAAGCTGTTATTTTGATATTACAAACAAACACTTCGATTTTATTTATTTGTATAGATTATAATACTTATTACTCTTTCTTAGAGAATTCACTTCCCTATATCATCCCGTGGCGTGGTAGCAATGGAACAGGAGATAGGCTCGATCTTTCTGACAATGATAATAAATAAAAAGTAAATTCAAAGGCTAAAACCCGACTACTGA